ATCTATTGAATTTGAGAATTTGATGGTAATTGCTAAGCTTAGGAGCACAATTTCAGGGGAGTGGTGGGCTTGGGTGGGGCTGTTTGAAGAATAGTGAGCCAGATTGTTGTGGTTTGAATTGGACAGCCACCATCAGGAAGTGTGGGTAGGGAGTGCCCAGGACTCTTTCAAGGAGCTTAGCTCTGAAAAGAGATCCTGGCCTGTGAGCCACCAGGCAGAAATTAAAGGGGTAGAAGTCTTCAGAGAGGCTATTTTCCTGAAGTTGGTATATGCCTCAGAAGTGTGAGAAAGTGTGATTATATGCAAAGATGAAACAATACGTTTGTAGTGCGGCAGGAAAACAGGTGACATAGGTGAGGACCACTGCAATAAGCCCAGCAATTTATTATTTTAGTTTCTTCACCATCAATTATCCCCAAGGCATAATTTTCAGAGAAATGCACTACACTGGGTAGAGAACACTTTTACATATTTTTGTAGTATATCAGATGTGGTAGGTATCCCTACATCTTAAAATTCTTTTTTTGGGAGGGAAAGGGGTAGGCATATGCCATGGCATTCATGTGGATGTCAGATGTCAGTTTATGGGGCTGCTTATTTCCTTCCACCATGTGGGTCCAGGGATTAAACTCAGGTTTGCCAGGCTTGGGGTCAATCCCTTACCTGCTGAACCATCTCACTGTCCCAGTTGTTTAATTTGTTAAATCCTTCCATGATCCAAAGCAATGTCACTCTGTTGTTTACAGGGAATAAAACTAGAGTCCAACTTTCAGAATGGGGCTCAAATCTCAGTCTCTAGCTGCCCTCTCTAGCCAGGCTGCTGTGCCAACTTGTCCACAAACCTGTCTTGCTCATTCTGCCTTTGCCCTGTTCCTGCCGCACCCTGGTATGACCCCCTCCTTACAGATATGGAGACTGAGAAGAAAATTCCAGCCTGTCACCAGTTCCTTTGGATCTGCCTTCCACTTACCTCCTACTGCAGGGTTGCAGCGTGGCTCACTATCCTCAACTCTTTCCGGTTTGTAGAACAAGAAAGTGCTTTGCTGCCCTGCCTCCAGACATCCACCCTAGACTTAACTACTGCCTGGAATACTCTTTTCTTAGCATTTGAGGCCACTGGCTCCTGTTTATCCTACAGGTCTTAGCCCAAATGCCACCCCACTCATTTGATGAAAACAGATCAAGCACACCATTAGGAACAAACACAATATACTTATGCCCTCCAAAGCCCTGGGAAGTGTACTTACTTTATTCATCATCCTTTCTCTTTCCTCCAACAAAACAGAAGCTCCACCAGGGCTAGAGACATCCTTCCTTCCCTCATGTCTAGTACAGCGCTTTAGAAAAATGCTTCATGAATAGATGAATAAACAGCTTTTCTAGTTTTCAAAACCTGGTTTAAATAGCACCTCTGTAGTGAACACAAATAATAGTTCATACATATTGAGTGCTTACTTTGTTCCAGCTGTTACATATACTGTATTATTTAATGAGTCGCCTCCACTTACCTCCCATAAATCATACAGTAGTTATAATCCAGACCACACACTCTGAAGTCACCAGTTAGTCTCTTGTTTGGTTGTTTAGTTTGGTTTTGAGGTTTATCTTTTTTTTTTTTTTTTTTTTTTTTTTTTTTGAAAAGTGTATTGCCTGCATGTATTATAAGTACATCACTATGTAGACCAGGCTGGCCTCGAACTCACAGAGCTCTGCCTGCCTCTGCCTCCCAAGTGCTGGGATTAAAGATGTGCACCACCACGCCCGGCCTTATTTATCTTTTTGCTGTTTTGTTTTTGCTTTTTATTTTGTTTATTGACTTTACTTTTTTTTTTTTTTTTCCAGTGCTGGGGACTGAACTCAGGGCCTTGCACACAGCAGAGGAGCACTCCATCACCGAGCACCCTTTACTTTGTTCTTTTGTATATCACATGCATCACTCTTTTTGCTCCAATGAAATGAGTGTTCCTCCACAGCCCAATGCTAAAACACCTCAAGCGGTGGAGCTCGAAAACTACATCAAAAGTTGTCTTTATTACATCAAAGACAAGCACAGTGTGACATCAGAGTAGCGAAAATGGATTTTGTTCAGTGACCATCAACAGGAGAAAAAGCAGAGTTCGTTCAGACTGATAAGGAACTGTGTTTTGTTTTGTTTTGTTTTGTTTTGTTTTAAAGAGAAAGTGAAGGAGTAGGGACTGAGGAATGCGACAGGGGCCCCAGCAGTCAGGGAAGTGAAATATTAAAGTGTGGAGGGAGCTAGTCTGTGAGAAACCCATCTAGGTTTGCTAGCTGTTGCTGGTGGAATTCAGGCTTGTACCCTCCCACAGGGGCTGGGAGATGGCGCCCTGTGGTTGGTAGGGTGTTGGCTAGAACAAACAAATTCTTTTGCAGCCTGGAGTTTTCACAGTCAAGCATTTTAAGGGAAACTAGGCTGTGGCCTTGAATTGATACAAACTATGTCAGCATTTGTTCAAATTTTCACAGGTCAAGGCTGAGACCCAGCAGAGAATCAAGCTCAGAGGAGCCTGATTAGGGTTTGATCGAGAAGAGAATCTTGGACTGGAGAGCTAGATGGCTCAGCAATTAAGAGCATTGGTTGCTCTTACAGAGGACCTGAGGTTGATTCCCAGCACTGATAAACCATCCACGACTCCAGTTCCAGGAGATCCAAAGCCCTCTTTCAGTCTCTGTGGAAATGGCACAGATGGGTACACTAACATACATGTAGGCAAAATATTCATACATATATAAATAAATAAATTTAAAAGAAGGGAATCTTGGTCAATTAAAAACTTCAAACAGAAAATCCAGCCCAATTTGCGAGTAGACAAACCCTCATTTAATTGTAAAGACAGCAATCACAACTATAACATGCTGGTTTGAGCTTTGAGGTATTTGATATACACAGTTCAATCTCCCCATTTTCCACAAGAATTTGCTAGAATCTTAACTTTCTAGAAAAGATAATCTGATCTGTCAGAAATGCCTACAAAATCCAAGTTATCTCATACTGGGAAGTCATAAGAAAGGGCTCCTAGCATTAACTTTTGAAATGTCTACTTTGCAGTGTTGTGGAGTGCCATGCAGCATAGACAGAGACTTCAGGAGTCCCTTTTTACAGCTCCTCCAAAACTCATGGAGGTCCTTCTGCAATTTGGAAAATTATTGTGCATTTCACTTCCAGCTTCAAGGACCACCTACTCAAGGTTTGAGGCTCAGATCAAAAGGAGCACTCCTATCCTCCAAGGAGTCCTCCCATCATTGTAAAAGATGACATCAGGTTGTCCGCTGTTTTATACCATAAGGATGGCCCTCACCAAGCTGGCAGTAAACCCAGAGTCCCTGAGAGCCCTTCACCAGCACTCTAACCCTGAGAGGCACAAGAGTCATTCTTGAAGTCCTCACAGCCTCTGAGCACATACATCTATGAGTGATTTTCTTTCTGGGTTCCACCCTAGAGCAGATGTGTGCAATCAGGAAAATGTCACCCAGCCTGTCTGACCCCACCTGACTCTTGATCTGGACGCTTCAGTCCTATTGGGTGTATTTCCTAGGGGAGAGCTTCTCTTATTAGAGAGGGTGGTGGTGTTTTTTAACCCTGGATCTAGAGTCACTAACGCTTGTTAGCCACCATGTGGGTGATGGGAATTCCACCTGGGTCTTCTATTAGAGCAGTCAGTACACTTAACCGCTGAGCCATCTCTCCAGCCCAGAGGCTGTTTTTCTTAAGTAGATCTTAAACTGCACATCCCCAGCTGTTCAATGCTGTAGAATCTGGGCGACACAGTGTTTGACCAAAGACTCTTTTTCAGCTTCTTCTGTGGTCAGGGAAGTAACTGGATGCCATGGTTCTAATATCACATTTTCCATTCCAGCCTTGAAGTTCTTTCCCTGATAGCTTGGCAATGATCTTTTTTTTTTTTTTTTTTTTTGGTTTTTGGAAGGCAGGGTCCCCCTGTAGCCCCCGCTTCCCGGAATTATGTAGACTAGGCCCAGGCTGGCTTTGAACCCACAGAGACCCCCCTGCCTCTGCCTCCCGATGGCAATGATTTTTTTTTTTTTTTTTTTTTTGGTTTTTGGAAGGCAGGGTCCCCCTGTAGCCCCCGCTTCCCGGAATTATGTAGACTAGGCCCAGGCTGGCTTTGAACCCACAGAGACCCCCCTGCCTCTGCCTCCCGATGGCAATGATTTTTTTTTTTTTTTTTTTTTTGGTCTTTTTAAGAAGAGGCTTAAAAAGACCCCTTCTAAGACAGGTTTGCCATAGTTACCTGCACTTCCCATGACATATTAGAGTCCCTGTGAGTTAGGAGACACCCCCCACCCCCAATCTCCAGTGCCCCTGGTGTGAAACTTGTCTCCCTTTAAGTTAGAACTGCTGCGGACCAGCCACTATCAAGGTGGCCAAGATTTCTCAGAAGGCCAGTTTTTCAAAGCTCAGTGTACAACTTCCCAGACGGCATATTAAGGGAGAGGAGAGGAAACAAAACGCTTTAAGATCTTGCAGGGCTGGTTTTCGGAGAAAGACCTCACAAATTTAGATTCCGACATTATGGGTGAGACTGCAGCGTTGCGACACCATGTCGGTGGATCATTCATCAGCTGAGAAGATAATGTAAAATATGCCACTACCTGATTTTGTTCGCTGGTTTAGTAAATCAGGACTAACCCGTACCCCAATTAAAAAAAAAAAAACCAAAAAACTCATTCTGTTCCAATTTCTTGGAGATCCTGGTTCAGGGTCCTGCAGAGGAGGTCAGAATGAAAACCTGGTTTGGAAGGTCGGATTTAGGCTGCAGGAATTCGGGGACTGGCTCTGGCGCCGGGACGACGCAGGCCTGACCTGAAAGCAGCTGGAGGGCGGGCACCAGGCAGCCTCGCGCCACCCGGAGGACAGCGTGGGCGGAGCGTGGTGGGCGTGGGCAGCGTGAGGGGCGGGGCCGCAGCGAGAAGGGCGGGCTCAGGCGAGCGCGGCCGCTGGGAAGGAAATGCGCCGGCAGGAGGAGTACGCTTGGTGTGGGGCGGAGTCATGCCCCGAACCGGAACTCCGTCGCCTACCGTGGCCGACTGCTGCTGAGCCGCGCTGAGCGGTGCGGATCCCGATGGACGTGTGGTGGAGGCGGGAGGGGCTGTGAGCCGTCCATGTGAGGTTTCCTTTCCCTTCGTTCCTCAGCTCATGCCTAAAAGCAGGTCGAAGCTTGGATTGGCCCCAGCATCTGGCCCCACAAGTACGCGGCCGCAAGGACGCCATTTCTCTCTGATCCCATCCGTTAGAGCTCCCTCTGCATACGCCTGTATGCACTGTTCTCCCCTGAGTGAAAAGTTAGTGTTCAAGGCCTGAGGATGTAGCTCAAGTTGGTAGAGAGCGCTTACCTAGCGTGCACAAAGCCCTGCATTCGGTCCCCAGCACTGCATAAACCAGGCATGATTGTGCATGTCATTAATCCCAGCTCTAGAGGGGGAGGCTGGAGGATCTGGAGTTCGAGGTCATCTTTACATAGCAAGTTCAGGGCCAGCCTGGGCTACATGAGACCCTGTCTCAAAGAAAAGTTGGTGTTTAAATGTTTCTGTGTTGATACTTTTGGAGAAAGGGCCTCTTATGCAACGAATGTCACTTTTCTGTAATCTCCTGAACTCTTGGTTTATACCTCCTAAATTTCGGGATAGGGGGAATGTCAACCTCATTCACATTAAACGCTCTGCAACCTGATTTTTGTGTCTCTTAAAGAGCCTTGACTCTGAAGCAGAACTTTTCAGGACTAGCAGTCTGCCAGGGCCCAGCCTCTAGATGCAGTCTGAATCAAGCCCACAGGCCGAATCAAGCTCACAGTCTAAATCAAGCCAGAATGAAGAGGAGGTCCCCTCCCTCCTGTGGGGATTGGATCCTGTGTTTCTAGCCTTTGCGAAACTCTACATCAGGGATATTCTGAAAATGAAGGAGTCCGGCCAAGTACCAGGTATGTGGCCAGTCAGCCTGGTGGATGCTCTGTGCTGCAGTCTGCCACCTCTTTTCCCAAAGCTGCAGAAAGCTGGAGCCTTAGGTCTTCCAGCAGAACCCTGCTGCAGGCTCAGAGTGACCTAGACTCAACCTTAGAAAGAGTGCATTTCTGTGCAAGCTTAAAAACAATTTTTTTGTGTGTGACAAGGTCTCCCTGTAACCCCAGCTGGCCTCGAATTCTCTATGTAGACCAGGCTGTCCTTAGTCTCACCCAGCCTCTGCCTCTGCCTCTGCCTCTGCCTCTGCCTCTGCCTCTGCCTCTCAGGTGCTGAGATTAAAGGCATGTGCTACTGCCCAGCTGTAAATATATATATATTCTTTTAATTAAGTAGAAGTTAGGGGAGTAACCCTCACACTGAAGTTTTTTCTTTTTTCCAAATTTAGCATAACCAGAAGTAAGCCTGACACTTGGGAGGTGAAAACAGAGATGATCAGGGATTCAAGGGCAGCCTGGGCTACTCTGTGCTTAAGACATTTCATATTTTAAAAATACTTGTTTCTTTTCTTTGGGCCTGCTCTTGGGTGGAAAGGTCACTGAACTAGGCAGGCTGAGGTCTTGTTCTGCCACCTGTCTCCCCTGGGATGTGACTGACTCTGCAAAGCCTAGTTTTCCTCTGTAAAAATGGGTATAACCAATGCCTGATCTCTGGTGGGGGTACAGGAGGTGGGGAGGTGGGGGGTGGGGAGGTGTTGGTTTGGGTTAGAGTTAAATCAGTCAATATAATAGTCCTGGGAGGAAGGACCTCTGGCTTGTTACCTGTGTAATGACATCAGCTGCGGGCAGTGGGTGGGCCCTTGAACAGCAGCAAAATAGCTAAGTGTTGGACAGGGAAAGTTTCAAACATATATTTTAAATTTGTTTGTGTGTATGTGTTTGTGGTATATGTACATGTTCATGTGGGTATGGGCATGCCTGTATGCCTTGCAGGTGTTTACCTGGGTAGCTCTCCAACTTTACTTTTGTTTGGGGGAGTTGATTTGGGGGTTTGTTTTCTTAAAGATTTGTTTTTATTTTATGTGTATGTGTGTTTTGCCTGCATGTATGTGAGTGTACCACATGTATTCCTGGTGCCTAAGGAGACCAGAGGAGGTTATAAGCCACCATGCTGGGAACCAAACTCAGGTCCTCTGGAAGAACAAGTGTTCTTAACTGCTGAGCCATCTCTCCACCCTCTCCAGTTGTATTTTTTGTGGCATCCAGGACTTTTATGTGAGTGCTGGAGATCTGAACTCAGTCCCTCCTGCTTATGCAAAAGGCACTTTACTAATTGAGCCATCTTCCTAGCCCCAATTTTTTCCTTATTATTAGTGGATTGGTTACCAGAGACATGCTTATCCTATCATTTGTTATATCAGAAGTATAGCAAATAGGTTAGAATAATTTGAGTAGCTGTGGCAGCCTTCAGGTGTTTAATACTGGGCTATATGTGAAGTTTGGTTAAATTCTTTGCTATTTTGTGACGGTTTCCAGTCAAGGACCTTCTGAATAGGTAGCTAAGAGTCAAAAGAAGTCAAGAATCTCAAGTTTTAACCCACAGTTTTAATGAGATGAGGTTTTATGGAGTTTTCATTTTATATACAAACATATTTAGATGACCTTCCCCTTAAGCTTTTTGTACAGTTTTTTTTTCTGTTATTTCCTACTTATTGTTTGACGTGGTCTGATTTTGTGTGTGTGTGTGTGTGTGTGCCTTGGAAAGCAGCCAGCCTCCTCCTGAGTTTTCCTGAACAATCTGGTGTTCTTCAGTAGCCTATCTTCATAGGAAAAAAATTATTGATACCAAATGCCAGCCCTGCTTAAAGATTTATGGGTGAGCAAGCAAGTAGCAGGGACATCCTAGGGGCTTAACTCATCCTTGTGGGCAAAGGACATGGTGATGTGTTAAAAGGAAGCCAGTGAAGGGACTGGGGAAGATGGCTCTACAGTTGTGTGGGTTCCATTCCCAGCTACATGGCAGCTAATGACCATCAGTAACTCTAGTTGCAGGGAATCCAACACCCTCACTGTCTACCAAGGGCACTACATGCACATGCTGCACTTACAGGCAGGCAAAACATTCATACACATAAAACAGCCCTCTGGATATAGAGACAGGAAGGTCAGGAGTTTAAGGTCATTCTTCCCCAGCTACGTAGTAAGATGTAAGGGCTAACTAACCATGTTTACATGAATGACACCCTGTCTTTAAAAACAAAACACAAAATAAACAAAAGCAATCAATCAAACAAAAAAGGTAATACTTGTGATTACATAAATTTAGAGATATTTAAATGGAAAAGAATATCTGAAACGAATTAATAAAGGTTAATAGAAAAAAAATGACAAAACAAGAAACTAGAGTGTTCTACAGTAAAGAATGTGTTTGCCCTTTGTCTTTGGTCCTAGGCAGTAACCTCTAAATCTTTGGAATTTCCTGAGTGATTGGAGTGTCTTTGTTATTGGTGGTGGCCCCTTGAACCACACCTCAGTTTATGCTAATGATGTATTTACACTAGACTTCCTGTTTCTAGCTGGGTCTTTACTCAAAAGACCAAACTTATGAATTGAGGGCTGGGTTTTAGAGCCAGGTCATGTAAATGCCTGATCTCTCCTGAAGGTTGAAGTCATTCTTTCATTCATTCAAAAATTGGTCATGCCTGTATTATGAAGGTCCATTAGAACCCTGGAAGCTTTGACTTAAATGCGTCTCCCTAGTTAGCATATTGTGTCAGAGGATGTTTCGTGAGATCTTGGAACTTTAACATCTGAACCCTCTGATGGAAGCTGCTCAGATGGGAAACAGGCTTTCAGCCAAGAGTAGTATTTACTTACGCGCCTCAGCAGATTCACATCCAAAGATTGAGCCCCAAGCTCAGCGATGCCTTGCTTTTTTTATATATCCTTCCTTAGTTTTTCCTCACTTTTAGTCTCTTTGTCTCCCTTACTTGGTAATATACATTAAAAAAATATTTTTATTTTTAAATTTTTATTTTATGTGTATAAGTGTTTTGCAAGCATGTATATATAAGTGCACCCGTGTATGCAAGGTCCACAGAGACCAGAAGATGGGGTCAGATCCCCTGGAACTGAAGTTACAGGCGGTTGTTAGCTGCCATGTGGCCATCTGTGTGCTGGGATTTGAACCCAGGTCCTCTTCAGCAGCCAGTACTCTTAACCAGTAAGCCATCTCTCCAGCCCCTGCGTGTTTTGGTTGAGTGTTCTACACAGTGTTGTGACAGGATTACAAATTTGACATGTTAAGAGACAAATAGTTCTATAGTGAAGGTACTAAAGAGAACGACAGGCATATAGTTTTAAAATGTTTTCATTTCTTACATTCATATTTTTACATACTTGGCTAAAAAATCGATTCAATTGATAACCAAATGACAGCTATTGGGAGCAAGGTGCAACCTTGAGCATATATTTTGATCTCTGACAAATATTAGTCCATGAGTTTAGAATTCACAGCCCCCATTTGTGGAAAGTAAACCAGAGAGAGACAAAGAAAGTGCATATTGACTCTCACTCTATTTTATACTCTAAAGATAAAAATTCCCTTTGAAAGGAAAGACTGGAAGAGACAGCTCAGTGGTTAAGAGCACTAGCTCACCCACATGGCAGCTAGTATCCATCTGTAACTTCAGTTCTAGGGGATCTGACGCTTTCTTCTGGGCTCCGTGGGCTTTGCACAACACAGGTGCACTTACATAAATGCAGGCAAAACACTCATAAAATATAAATAAATAAATAAACAAACAAATAAATAATGTTTTAGCCATGTGTGGTGGTGCTTGTCTTTAATCCCAGCACTCAGGAGGCAAAGGCAGGTGCATCTCTGTGAGCTTGAGGCCAGCCTGGTCTACATAGTGATTTCCAGGTCAGCTGGAAGGGAGACCCTGTCTCAAAAAAAAGTAAAGAAGATTTCTTTCTTTTTCCTCTGGGTGTAATCCAAGTAATTTCTTAAAAATGAAAAACAGGAGACAGGCGTGATGGGGGCACACCTTGAGTTCCAGTATTAGGAGGCAGAGGTAGGTGAGATAAAGGCCAGCCTGGTCTATATAACAAGTTCCAGGTCAGCTGGGGCTACAGGGAGACCCTATTTCAAAAAGACACAAATCAATGTTTTTTTTTTAAAGAAAAGACAGTACATTTCATTTATATTTCCCACAGTTCCTCCTCACCTTACTCTGTACTGTCTCTTCATTTAGCTGGTCCTAGTTCGTGCCCTTTATTATAAAACTATAATTACACGTGGTACCTTCCTGATTTTAGCAAATTATCAAACCGAAGGAGTCACAGAAACACCCAGCTTTATAACAGGCAGGATCAGAGGATCCCAACAAAACTTGAAGCTCGTAACTGAAGTGATAGCAGTCTTGAGGAGATTGTGCCCTCAGCCCGTGAAATTTAACCTAACTGGGTTGTTAGATTTGCATTGTAACATACTGTCTCCAAAAATCTGTGAATTTAGGATTTGACTAGTAAAAATGTAAAGTTTGTGGTGACGGTGATATTTAGGTGGTTGATAATATTTAGGTAGTTTTGTTTGTTCTTTTGAAGAAGTCTTTTTTTGTAGAGGATATTGAGACAGGGTCACCTTCTGTAGCCCTGGCTAGCCTGATACTATGTAGAACAGGCTGCCTTTGACTTGATCTTCCTACCTTTGCCTACTGAGTGCTGGGATTACAAGCATGATACTGTGCCTGGCATAAAACAGTATTTTCTAAAGATTTATTTTCATTTACTTATGTGTGTGTGTGTGAATGTGTGCCATGTGTGAGGTTCTCTTGGAGATCAGAAGAGGGTGTTAGATCCCCTGGAGTTATAGGTTATCTGTGAGCCACTATATGTGGGTGCTGGGAACCAAACCTCAGGTTCTCAAAGAGCAGAAAGTGCTCTTAACCGCTGAACCATCTCTTTAACCCCCACAATCTATTTTTAATAACAACTTACAGCAGTGGTCTTTGTTTTCAGTATCTTGATTATGTCAAACTTTTTGTTTGTTTTGTTTTGTTTGTTTCTTGAACCAAAATCTACCTGGCCTTGAACCTGCAATTTGTCTCCATCAGCCTCCTGAGTACTAGGATTACGACTCTGTGCCACCACACCCAGCTATTATGTCAGAATTTAATGGGTTAAATAATAACTGTGTGCAAGGAGAAGTTGTCTTGGTTTTTCCTCTGCTTTTACACCACAAATAATACAAAACTTCTGTGCCCCTAATTGATACAGGGCTTTTCTCCACCTTCAAACAAGTGATCATTGCTGCAGTGTACACCAACTGGGTGTCCTCTAATTTGCTTCACTTTGAAGCATCTACCTGAGATGGTGCCAGATTCCACAAGTTGAGGGTTCAACACCCCATATCACATACTACCCTCTTACATCTGATGCTAGTCACAAGCCCTAGATTGTTTTTACTGGTGCCTTTGACCAACTGGCTATAACTCAGGATTCCTACAACCTCTTCATGTTTAGCTAATTTGCTTCAGTGGCTCACAGAACTCAGAGATAACACATTTACCAGTTTATTGATTATAAAGGATATCACAAAAGATGCCAATGAAGGTGTCTAGGGCGAGGTGTAATAAAAGTGGCACTGAGCTTCCATGCCCTCTCCCAGTGTGCAGCCCTCCAGGAGACTCCACATCTTCAGCTATCTGAAAGTGCCCAGAATCCTGTCTTTCTTTGTGAATTCCTTCCTCCAGGGTATGCACCACCCCTCTGGAATGAATAGAGCCCCATGGCTTACTATCTGACAAGGCAGATAATTCTTTGTAGCCAGCTAAAAATAGGAGAAAAGTAGAGTTTTTATGGTCAGACTTGGGAAAGGAGTTATAAACCAGGAATCATGGATAAAAACCAAAATAAGGATAATAATAACAAATATATATCATAATATCACAATAGCAAATTGTGCTGGAAAGCTTTAGTTGTCAACTTGGCAGACCTGGGTAGAGGGAGGGTCATTTGGGGAATTGCCTCCATTGTACTGGCCTATGGCCATGTCTATGGGGTATTTTGATTTTTGAGTGATGTGTGAGGGCCCAGGCCAGGGGAGCAAGCCAGTAAGCACTGTTCCTCCATGGCCTGTGCTTCAGTTCCTGCCTCCAGGTTCCTGCCTTGGGCTTCCTGATGAACTGTGACCCAGGAGATGTAAGATAAAATAAATTCTTCCTCCGCAAGTTGGTAGTGTTTTGTCACAGAGGTTGAAAAGAAAGTAGAACACAAATCTTTTGGGTTTTTTGTTTTTTTTGAGACAGGGTCTCACTATGTGGCCCTGGCTGGCTTCGTACTTGTTATGTAGACCAGGCTGGCCTCAATCTCACAGAGACCTGCCAGCCTCTGTCTCCTGAGTGCTGGAATTAAAAACATGTGCCACCATGTGCAGTCAACATGCAACATTTATTCAGGTACAGTGAAGCAGCAGCAGCAGCACACTGTCGACTTCCCTTATCTGTAGGTTCCTCATCTGAAAATTGAACCAATAGCAGATTGAAAATATTTGGCCAGCAATATTTGTGTATATACTATACATGTCATACTATTTTTTCCTTGTCATCCTGCCCTAAACAATAGTATAATCATTTATGTAGTATTTACATGTGTAGATATTACAAGTCACCTAGAGATGCTTTAAAATATTTGGGATCATGTGGATAGGTTACATGTGAATACTATGGCCTTTTACATGGGGGACTTGTGAGCATCCTCAGATTATGTCTGAAGAAGGTTCTAGAACAATCCTCCAAGGATGACTATAGATGACTATATTCATAACAATATTAAATGAATCTGTTTAAAAAATACTAGATTAAAAAAATGTTAATGCTATCAAGCTTCAATAAGAGCAATTATAACATCAGAAAATAACAGTTAAACTAAAAAGAAAGCCAACAAAAGTACTTTTCACTTTTGTTTCTTGAGACAGTCTCCTACAGAAGTTCTTTTGAAGAAAGAAAACAGACAGGTGTCTTGCTGGGATTGTGGATGTTCAGGGACAGTGGCTTAAAATCTGATCAAACTTGACTACGACTTTGGATCCCTGCATCCTCCCAGCTTGGCTTTCCTCTTCTTGGGAGCCTGAGCACACAGGGGTTCTTGTATGTATCACAAATACCTTGGATCTCTGAGGCTGGACAGGTGGCTCAGCAGTTAAGAACACTGACTGCTCTTGCAGAGTATCTGTGTTCAGTTCCCAGCTCCCACATGATGGCTAACAACTATCCATAACTCCAGTTCTAGGGGGTCCAATGCCCTCTTCTGCCCTCCACAGGCATCGCAGGACATAGGTGCATTTACATGCAGGCAAAACACTCATATACATAAAGTAAAAATAAATTAAAAAAAAAATTATTAAAAAAAATTCCTTGGATCTCCAAGCCTCTGTGGAGTAGAAGGAGCAGCAGGCTGCTTGGAAAGGGCCCTTCCATGAGCTTGGCTTGTAAACCAGTGTGTATCTGTTTGATCCTTTGCTTTTCTTAGCTCACTAAGACTTTTTTCTCAGTGGACAGAGTTGCCTTCCAGTCCCCTTGAGCTCAAGAAGAGAGCTCATTGTGATGGAAGGAAGTGACCCTCTTAATTCTCTTTCCATGGTTTAAGCCATCTTTTTTGCAAGGGCTGAGCTGCTCACTCTGGTTCATGTTTCCATGCACTTTGAGAGTTTCTTCTGTGTTTCTAAGCAGTACATTTCCTTCTCAATCAGTTTTCGCAGATTTTTTTCCAATGCAAACCATCTGTCTGTCTGTCTGTGTCCTCTGTTGTTCTGTGATGCCTTTAAGATTTTCTTTGCATGAGTCCTTTGGGATTGGGCCTGAAAGCGAGCTGTTGTTGGTCCACAAAGTAGAAATTTATGAGGCCCATATTTAATCTTTTTTCAAGGAAGTATATTATGTTCTTAAGTGAAAACCTGTTCAGATTTTATTGTTGCTGAATACAGAATTTATAAAGTGGGAGGAAAGGTATCTTGGGGACATTGTATATTGGTCCAGTGTTCCCACTGCCTTTGGAAAAATAGACTTCATCCCAGACCAAGCACCTTTGGTCCAGCTCTCCTTTCCATCTTAAATGTTGTAACATTTCAGCTGTTTTCTGTTGGTCCATATTGTCCCCGATCAGCTTATGTGTTCTTGAATGGGAGCATTCTTTTAAGAGTGACAACAAGCCTCTTTTGGAAATGGCATTGTGACCTGGGCTCCTTCTCTCATGGAGCCTTGCCATTGTCAGCTCATGGACAGCACCCCACCCCCACCCTCCAGTCGCCCCATCCACCATATCATCTTTAGAAGCACACCCTGAATGAAGAAAGACCAGATTTGGGCTAAATTTGCTATGTTTCTTTCTCAAAGCCACATCTACCTTCCTAGTATCCCTCTGGCAGACTTAGGTTCAGGAGCTTTTTAATACAATCAGCTCATCCCAAGTCACCCTGTCTGCAAGGGAATTTAGAGAACCATCCATCAGCAGTGGTCAGTTGGAGGTCCAGGCCATAGGTCCCTTAATGGTGTGGAATCCACAGGCTCTGAGTAGGCATGGTGCTTAGGGAAGAGTGGCCATATGCCTGAAGGAATCATGGTTTCTTTATTTATAGTCCATATATTTATTTACAAAGGAAAAGGCCATTTGAAAGCATTTATATGGGGCTGAAGAGATGGCTAGCAGTTAAGAGCCCTTGGTACTCTTATAGAGGACCTGAGTTCACTTCCCAGCACCCACATCAGGTGATTCACCTGTAACCACCTGTAACTCCAGCTCCAGGGGATCTGATGCCCTCTTCTTGTCTCTGAGGGTACCTGCACTCATATGAGCGTACACACACACACACACACACACACACAAATATATAAAGAAATAAAAGAGAAATTTTAAAAAAATGGATATCCCCCCCCCAAAAAAAAAAGTTAAAGATGAAGCCATATATATCTCCTGCATCTGAAAGTAAAGAATCCAGCCATGGTGGGACAGTAAATATCACAGGAACAAGGCTTAGGCTGACACAAGGACCTCAGGTGAACTGTGAAACTGGGAGGGAGGCTCTTCCCACAACTCTGGGACTGCAAGTTGGAGTTAAGAATTCATGTTTTCTAGAAACCCCATGCCTGCATCCCCAGGTCAGAAAAAGGTGCTGGGAGTCAATGGCAATTGGTTTCTCATGTTTCTCCTCTAGCATAAATTTGCCTTCCAGCATCTGTAGCCTGGGCTTTGGAAACAGTCTTTTAAGAAGTGTGAGTTGTAGCCTGTTGACCCCAGTGGACAGCATCTCTATCAGCTCTTCCTCACCAGGTCATAGAAAAGATGATCAGTTTCTTAGAAAAGCTCTGGTCTGAAAGCATAGTTTCCTTTTCTCTTTCCTTTGCCCAGTCACTCAAATGCCGTCATGTCACATGTCACGCTCACAAGAGGAGAATGAATTAACCAAATCTAGTTGGGTAACCTGGCTTTTACTTTACAACACTAGCGTGGGTTTCTCTAAAACCCAGTTTTCTACTTCTGCCCCTTGAGGAAAAAGACCTCTAAATTTCTTGGAGTCTGTCCATTGCCAAGGACTGACTCTTAAGGCTGAAATTTCAGCACACAGCATGCCACTGATTTTTTTGTTACCCTACCTCCAAAAGACATTTAATGATGCAGAAAATGTGATCATATACTATATAAATGACTTTCTCTTGATTTTAGGTATATTTTTTTACAATGGGCATCCAATAAAACGGGTAGATGTCATGGGAACTGTCATTGGAGTGAGAGAAGGAGAAGCTTTCTACAGTTACGGAGGTAAGCAGTTGTGCCCAAAACTGAGTTTGTATGGAAGGACCTCACAAAGCTGGAATTGAATTACCCTGGCTTCTTTGAGCTGCTAGGGGCCTTCACAGAACCTAGTGCTCTGTGGCAAGGCTCTTGGAGCCCCATAACTGGACTAAGTGAAAAGAGGCCAGAGGTAAGAATGATACTGCTAAGTTCTGTGAAGAGCTGCAGCTGGGGAAAGAGGAGGTGGAAGAATTAAGTACTGAGGTATAGGGTCACTGGTGGTCAAGGAAGACACCCGACACTTGCAGTGTAACTGCATAGCTATGGGCGACTATGTGCTGATAGCAATCCCTTTAAATAGATAGAATTTATATCCAGAACAATGTGGGGGGAGGGAGAACCTTTTTTGTTACTTAAAGGGATAAATATCCATTATCAGACTTGCTGGTTCCCCATGATGAAACCTAAATACAGAACTTCCCTATTTTGGACACCAGAGAATTGCCAGAAGGTGCTTTTAGTGGGTGGGTCTTGCTCTTTCATGTTTGATGAAAGCATTTTAATACGTTGCATTAGTTGTGCAACTCCCAAGATTCTCTGCAGTTAGGAGGCCATGCTAGATGCTTGTTGGGAAGATTAACCTTGAATTCTAGACCTTTGCTCTGATTGACATTGCCCCTTTTTGTGGTGGTGTCTGGGATTTGTAGTCTTGTACTTGGGGAAAGACAGGAGTCGAACTTTGTGACCAAGAACATTGTATTGACACTATAGGCATGGTTATTTGTAAAGTAATGCATTTCTTCAACATTTGTCTATTTTCCTGAAGATGATTATCCTTGTGCTTATAAAATAACATGTGAGTAAAGAAATCTCCCCCTCTGCTTTTTCAGAGAGAGAGAGAGAGAGAGAGAGAGAGCGTGCTTTTTAATCTGCAGTAGATCATTTTGTCAGCAGTCCCTATACTGATTTTCCCTACTTTATTTTATCGAGGACACTGGTCCTGCCTTTCTCCAGGACAGCTCAACAATCATGTAGCTAAGCTCCTACCGTCTACCCAGCTGTAAGCAGGTTATCTATAACAGTGCTTCTCTCCAAGTCCCCGTGATGACATAATAGCGTCTTCTGGTTACAAAGCGCTTTTTACATTCATCATTTCACATCATTCTCCGCATTTTGTTTTGAAGCGGGAAGGACAAACACTGCCATTTTGTAGTAACTCACTCACTCAAGGGCTCTGCTGGGAGAGCCCTGTAGGTCGGATCCAGCAGAAGACTGTTAACTGGCCCCAGGGTGCTCTGCTGTCTGCCTAGAGCTCAGAATAGGTTTTCTCTCCCACATCCACTTTCTTCTCCAGCTTCCCACCCCCAAATCATCTGGATTTGATGTTTTTCAGATCAAATAAATGAGGCTGTTGGGGTTTTCAGTCCTGGCCTTAGAACTGGGCCAGATTTAGCCTGTGACATAAAGGGACTTCACTTAACTCATGAAAACATTTAAGGTGATATGTTTGGCTCTGCCCAAAGCTTTTCCCTCTGAGTGGGTGTCGTGAGAGCATGGCACATGTGTGGGCTGCGGGAAAATGGCAATATGGAAGTAATTAAGAACAGAAACGCTTTTGCATTTCAATTCTTGTGTGGCCTGGTGGAGTGGAGAGCCATTTTTCTCCCTGCTGTCTGCAGGCCCAGCTTGGCTCTTGAAGTCTTGGGTGCTTCTCCCCCTGACTTACCTCAGGCCTGTGTTGGGATGCTTCTGCCTGCACGGACTCATCCCAACATCAAGTTGGGGAGGATGTGGTACTGTTCTACAAGGATGCTTCTCGTCCACGCCACTCAACAGCAGGCCTCAGGGACCATGCTACATTATCAGCTGAGAGAGATTATAGGCCAGGGAAGGCAGCGTTGGTAGAGGTACCCACAGTGTACAGAGCTCCTGGCTGTGACTTGAGCTCAGAGAAGACTCTCAGGAGGCTCCAGTTAAGACCAGGATGACTTCACAGTTCCTAGAACAGATGTTCATGTGTTAAGTAGTTTTGCTTCCGTTATAAATTAACACTTGTAGCCAGCTGTGGTGGCTGATGCCAGTAATCCCAGCACACAGGAGACTGAAGCAGAGGATTGCTGCAAGTTTGAGGCTAGCCAAGGCTACATAGTGAGTTCCAGGCTAGTCTAGGCTACAGACTAAGACTCTGTCTCTTTTTGTTTTTTAATTTGACACATTGAATGTGAGCTCCTTTCTCCATACCCTGAAAGATTCTGTTATTGGCATTTCTTAAAATCATTTCTGTCAAATTGTACTGTTCAGTGTTTCTAGATAGGTGTAATTTCTAAAATACATGAGATTTGCGTTTTACAGTGCAATATGTGTGTCTAGGATTTCATTATAGATGTTAATCTCATGTACTGTGTTATAATTTACTTAACCAATTGCGTATTTATAAACATCTAGGCTATTCCCACAGTGTTACAAGCGGTACTTCAGTGAACAGCCTTGTTGAGATGTATTCATCTGCACACTGGTTCTGTTTCCTTCTTCGGGATCATTTACCAGAAATAATTGCACAGTCAAAAGATATGTACATTTCAAAATCTCATGCATGGTTCCAAACTTGCTCTTTAGAAATTTGGTGCTGATTTGCACACCCTCTAGTACACTTATGAGAGCGTCAGGATTTTGTTGTTTGTTTTTGTGCTGGGATTGAACCCAGAGCATCATGCATGCCCCACAAGTGCTCTACTACTAAACTATATCCTCACCATGGGAGTCAATACTTTGTCAATCTAGCAGTTGAGAAATTCTTTAAATTTGATTTTTTTTTTTGTCATAGAGGCATTTATTTATTGACCATTTTCCATGTTTGTGGTCTTGGTTTTTTTCTTATTAGTCCATGTAAGCTCTTTATATGTTAAAGCAGTAACTATTATTTGGAAACCTGCTTTCTATTATTAGTTTTTAGGTCAACAAATATATCAGACTTTTAAAAATGAATTATTAATTTCAGATTCTGCTTTAAACAAAGTCTCTCTTCACTGGACGTGGTAGTGGATGCCTTTAATCCCAGCAGTTGGGAGGCAGAGGCAAGCAGATTTCTGTGAGATTGAGGGCAGCCTGATTGACATAGTGAGTTAGTTCCAGGCCACCTGGGGCTACAGGGATACCTTGTTGGGTTTTGTTTTTGTTTTTTTTTTTTGTCTTTTTGAAGCAGGGCCTCCCTGTAGCCCCAGCTGTCCTGGAACTCACTATGTAGACCAGGCTGGCCTTGAACTCACAGAGATCTGCCTGCCTCTGCCTCCCAAGTGCTGGGATTAAAGGCGTGCACCACCACGCCTGGCAGGGATACCTTGTTTAAAAAAAAAAAAGTCTCCCCTTCTTATCTCTAAGCCCAGGGTTAAAAGTATTTGCTATATCTTCTTTTCATCTTTAGTTTACCTGTCTTCTATTTAACAAAATGAAGCCCATCTAGAATTTATTTTACTGTAAGGAATAGTGTAGGCTGCTTCTTCCAACAGAGATTTCAGCCAACTCTAACATTTTTGCCTTATAGTCTATGCTGCATAGGTCTTTACAGCAGTGTACTTGGTATTATTTTGCTTTGTTTTTCATAATTATGAGGTCCCTACTCTGCTTCCCAACCTGTATTCTGAGTTTGTTGGAACTGAACAAAGAGAAAATGCCTCCCCCAGCAAACATCTCCAAGGTCCTCTAAAGTCATAAATCTAAGCCCTAGGGGAATTGTTTGGGTTTGTTTTTTTTTTTTTCCACTAAAAATAAAATAAGCCAGACCCATCCTATTTTTGCACCCAGGGTATAATTATTTTCTGTTGTGAAAATAAAGCTGGGCCTTTCTGTGATGTGCTTGACTTTCCTTACATCCCCTGCAGAGGTCAGAACTGGGCTGAAGCCCTTTCACAGAGAAGGCCAGGCTGTCTTATATGGATAGTAGATGGAGTGCCACAGCCTCTGACCAGAGACAACATGGTATTATCTCTTTTGAGGGTGAAAGACAGGCAAGGATGTGGCCACCCACTGAGATTTTTTTTGCACCTAACTTCCTGAGGATGCAGTGTTACCAGGGTAGATGGGAGTCCTTAGTGTCCTCGAGATAGGGTAAGGGAAATGTTGGATGTCTCCATTGACTTTTGCACTGACATGCTCACAGGTAAGCTTCCTATACTGAAATGCACTGAGAGACAGCTTCTTAAGACAGAGAGAGGGTTCAGCAAGGGAGTTGCCCCACCAGGGCAACTTTCACCAGGCGTGAGGGTGCTTGCCTTTAATTCCAGCACTCGGGAGGCAGAGGCGGGTGGATTTCTGTGAGATTGAAGCCAGCCTGGTCCACATGGCGAGTTCCAGACCAGCTGGGGCTACAGGAAGACCCCATCTAAAAACAAAACAGATGCCGTCTTTCAGTATGGCTGAATGCAGTGATGACATGTGGATTGGCCAGCGAAACCCAAATCTCTCATCTGCCCGTCTGCACTTCTCTTGTAGTGGATGATGCCACTGGAGTTATAAACTGCATCTGTTGGAAAAAGTTGAACAATAATGAGTCTTTATCAGGTAATTTTATTTGCCTCATTACTTTGGTTTTCAGGTAAAAAAGTAGCAAGGTAAGCTCATCAGAACAACTGCTGAAGCGTTTCTATACCCATCCTCTGGTGAACTGCATTGATGGACATGATGTGCTGAACCCAGAGCTGTGGCTGCTCTGAAAACTGAGGCAGCAGTGGAGAAGGCAGTTCCTTCTTCCTCTTAGCTCTTTGGTTCCCACTTCTTCCTAAGCATGGGAAATGGGGAAAGATTCCTGGAAGTTTCTGCAGTACGTGTTTTCATTGCCAATTATTTTGTACGTCAAGATGTTTTAGTCTGATTGCCCATCTGGTCAGAATCCTTAGCCAAAGAATTTGAAGATTGCCCCCCTGCTGCACACACACACACATAGTTGCCCTCAGTGTCTATGCTACACAATCTAGATTTCCTGAAATCTTTAATATGTTCAAACAAATAACGGGAATTCAAAGGTTGTTAAGATAGGATTCTTAGCCGGGTGTGGTGGTACACGCCTTTGATCCCAGCACTGGGGAGGCAGAGGCAGGTGGATCTCTGTGAGTTCAAGGCCAGCCTGGTCTACATAGTGAGTTCCAGGACAGGTGGGGCTACAGGGAGACCCTGTCTCA